CCGCGCGTCCGCCGCCGCCCTCGCCTTCGCCGCCGCCGCCGAGGGGAAGCACGGGCACCGCCACGGGCGCCGCCGCCGCCGCCGCCGCCTCAGACACAGGGCCCCGCAGCCACCACAGCGCTCGCCGCGCAGGCGCACAGCGCCCTCCCGGCCGCCCCGGCGCATGCGCGTAGCGGCCGGTGCGTGCTGCGCAGGTGCGGGAGGGAAAGGGACACTTCGGCTACACTAGATTTCGACGGGGGGCGGTGAGAGAGCAGCTCCCAGCCTTTCTTTTCTGCGCACGCGGCCCCTCCCCTTACCCCTTTTGCGGGTTTTCCGCATCTGCGCAGGCGCAGTTAGCGCCACTCTCCCCCCCCGTCTCCATTTCCTGCGCACGCGCCACTTGGACGTCTCAGGCTTCCTATCTGCGCATGTACCGGTCTCGCTTTTTTTTTTTCTTCCTCGCTTTCTGCGCACGCGCAGCTCTGCTTCCTGCGTTACGCCTGCGCAGTCCTAAGCCCTTTTCGGCGCAGCTCTTTCTACGCAGGCGCACTACACCCTCTCTCGCTTGCTGTCTTCATTTATACGCAGGCGCAGAATTCGGTTTGGCCTTGCACTGTGCGCATGCGTTTTCCCTTTTTTTTTTCCTGTTAACAATTGTATTGCCAGTCTGCAAAACAGCACGAAGGAGCAATGTGAATAAAATAATCGGAACGCCGTTTAACTACAGAGTTAACACGCAGTTCGTTTTCCGCTTCTCCGCTCCCTCAACGCCATTCCCGCTTTGACGCAGGCACGATCTATACCGGCGCGATGCTACTACGCAGGCGCACTACACTGACGGGCAGGCAAACTACCGCCTGACCGGAGATGAAACCTTCTCGTGAACGGCTTGTCGCCCCTCCTCGCGCCTGCGCAACATCGTCGGCGCGTGTGCGCCTGCGCAGTAGACGCGCGCTCTAGAGGGGCGGGGCTCTACCTCCTTGGCCGCAGGGAGGCGGAAGAGGAGCAGTCCTTTTGTTCGCGAGCACAGACTTCCGGGATCTTGTGAAGCGGTTGCTCCTCCTAGGAGAGGATCGCTTTGCGTACCACGCAGTTTGCATTGCAATCCACGACTACTCCAGTGTTTCTACCCATGATGCCCATCGAGGGGTAGCGGCTGCGCCAGTGGCGAAACGCCAACCTTGCAATGTAGGACAGTGTCCTGTCGCTACCCCGCCCGCGCCGCCTCTTTGCAGCGAGGAGGTTGGGGCAGCCCTCTGCCCTCGGGACCCCTGGCAGTGCTGTCTATCAGCCCCGCTCACTCGGCAGATCCGCACCCGGCCGGGCGCTTTCACACGTGCCGGGCAAGCTCCGGCGCCGCTTGCGGGCCAGCAGGTCTGCAGGGCAGCTCCGGGGTCGGCGAGCCTTTGACGCAGGAATGCGACCTCGCGGAAAAGGTGGGGCGGCCCTTGGGACCCCCCCCCCGAAGGACTCGTGGGCGGGGCCAGAAGGGGCGGGGAGCCGGGCTCCGCCCCGCCCCGCGTGCGTGGCTGGCGATCCTGGCCGTGGCTGGGGCTGATGGGCCTCCGGGCCACTGTCCTGGCTTCGTGCTCTGTGTGCGGCACCTGGGGGGCTCCAGCTTGCCGTAGCCTGGCCCCCTGTGCCCCGATCCCGCCCGGCGCCCCAATCCCGCCCATTGGGCAGCCCTGCTGCTTTGTCCGTGCTGCATCTGCCCCAGAGGGGATGATGGGTGCCTGGTGCGGACCTGTGCGTGGCGCATCAGGTCCGGGACCGGGGATCTGTGTATGTCTGAGTTTGCTGCCCCACCGTTTCTCCTTCCCAAGAGCTCAAGGTAGGTGCATCAGGCTCCTCCTGCCGCTCTCCGGCTTATCCCCAGAACACCCCTTTGAGGTAGGCCGGGCTGAGCATCTGAACGGCGCACTCACTGACCCCTCGCAGATCTAGCACACGCCGCCCTCCTCCAGCCTCCCCGTCTCTCCCGAAACTTTGGCAGCGTTAATTTCGGGGGCTGATAGGTCTCAAAACGCCGTTGGCGGCACTCCGAATGCGCCGACGTTTCCACGAACATTTCCAAGGCTGCCTGTATGAAACAGCCGGTCAAGGGCCTGTGCAGAATACGGCAACACAGGACTCGCTTCTGCTGAGGCGGCTCATTCAGTCCAGCAGCGACCAGGCTGGCCGGCGGCACCTGCCGATTTCAGGAGAAATCGCTGCTGAACATGGTCTGTCCCCTGGAAGCAAAGCAAGATTCTGGTCCTCATGGAGTTGAGTAAAGGCATGATGGCAACGTTCGGCAGCACTGAGCCTCTTTCAATCCAAGGGCCAGAATCCACTTTGGAGATGCTCTCAGGGACGGCGTCCCTGCATGGGACCAGAGATTCCCGCATATTTCCTCATAATTGTATTATATTTATTTATTTCTGTGAGCCGTCCCGAGGCTATATAGCCAGGGGACGGCATACAAAAACTTTAAATGAATAAATAATAAATTTTCACCTGATGCATCTCCCCAAAGCCGCAAAGCAGCAGAGAAGGCATTTCGAGCTTCTGCAATTGGGGAAAACCGCCAAACGCAGGAAACCAGCAAGTGATGCCAGCCAGGAAAAAGGGCTTCCGGGAGACTTGGAGGTTGGCACGAAGGAGAGTTAGCCCCCCTTGAATTTCCCACAAGGCCCTGCTGTTGCATCCCTCCAGGGCATCATGGGACGTGCCCCGTGGCCTTGTCTGGGGCACCGAAACCAGGCGCGCCGGCCGGAGCCCCCCCGAGGGAAGCGCCCTCCGTCCCCCGGACTTCAAATCAACGCTGCCCGCCCTGCAGGGCGGCCCTTCTGGGTACACAGTGCTCAGCACGCTGCAGCAAGTTCTTCTAAAATCCGGTTTATTCATGAAACAATCCAAAAGGTTGGCTCTTCCCCCCCACCGCCCCGTCCCACGCAGGGGCCGGACGGCTCGGGAGCGTCGTCTGCGCCGTTCCGCCGTCCCGAGGTTCTTGGGTGCCTCCGCAGGGGGGCAGCCAGCGGCTCCGGACGAGCGCCCTCCCCGCATGCGGCCACCCGCCTGGGGAGCCCGGCAGGGGCGCCCCCTTCTCACGGAGAAGAGGTCCCGGCCGTGGCTCGCTGGTCGCGTGCACGCAGGCGGAAGGGGGCCCCGGGGGCGTCTTCCGGCCCCCTCGGGGGGAGCTGGAGCCCCAAGAGGCGTTCTTGAGCGAAGGAGGGCAGGCGTGCCGGCCAGGCCGTCTCCGGCTGGGGCCTCGTTCCAGCCCTTCCAGGGGCGCCTGGGGGCCCGTGGCCCCGGGCCCAGACATGGCCCACGAGGAGGATTGCGCCCCACGCACGGCCTCCCCACTCAAGGCAAAGTCACGCGTGGCGTGGCCTCCCCTTGCCAGCTTGCAAACCATCAGGCCAAACGAGACGGGGGACGGGGGCGCACGAACGGCTTTGGGCCCCTGGGGCTCTGCCTGCCTGGGTCGGCTGTGGCTCCCTCTTGGGCTGCCAGCCCCTTCCTCAAGGGCCACGGGAATGCTGGGCCCGGGGCATCCCGCATTCCCTCTGGGCAGCCCCCCGGACGCCCGTGATGAAAAGCCGCAAGGAATTCCGGGGCCAACGGGACACTGCCGGCGGTGTGGTGTGTCTGCATTCCTGGAATCTGGAGATTTGTGCCAAGGGGAGGAGGTTTGTTCCCCCCAAAAGAAGCGCCCCCCTTAAAAGAAAACACTTCCTCTGGACTTCATCCACGCGGGGTCCCCCGACTGGACTTGGCCGAAGTATGAATTCAGCTGGGCAGGAAGCGGCTGCTCGTGGCCGGGATCCGGGGGGCGCCGGGCCACGCCAGCGGAGGGGCACTCTGGCCACACGCCAGGCCAGGCAGGGGTGGGAGTGGGGCACATTTCTGTGGCTCTGCCCCAGGGAGGAGCCGGGGGGGGGCATTTGCAAGGTGCGGGGAGCAGGCGGCTGTGATGCTGCGAGGGCGATTCGTGGGCGATGTCGACGGAAGCCATCCAGGCCGGCGTGGGGCGCTGGCGTGGTCAGCGGGGCACCGACGTCGCCCCGACTTTGCTCACGCGCCTCATCCCGGCAACTGCTTGCTCCCCGTTGCACGTGGCCGAGGGCCAGGGAGGAGCGAGCGGAGGTGGGGGAGGACGCGTGGCGCGGGGGGCCAGTGGCCAGGTCGGGGGTCTCTGCAGAACTGGCTGCGCCGATGCTGCCGACTCTTCCTCTCCCGGACGACTCCTGAAGGGGCACGGGCCCAGGGCTGTCCTCAGGGGCGGCGTGGCCGGGCAGCGGCCAGGGACCTCGCTCCAGCGGGGGCCACGCTCCCCCTCCGCACCCCCCTGGCCCTGCAGGCTGCCCACCCCTCGCTCCAGCCCGGCAGCCCGGTGGCGAGAGGAGAGTCGGAGTCGCCCCCGGGCTCTCTGCTGGCGAAGCGAGTGACCGGCGGCCTGGGTGAGCACGGCAGGGGGAGGCACGGCGGGGGCCGGCGGGAAGAGCGACTCGGGAGGGGGGTCCAGGGGGGTGTCTCGCTGGGAGCAGCAGGGGCGGGGGCGCACGGGGGCATGCGGCATGCTGTACGGAGCATGGGCTTCGCCTCTCTTCTGGGACCGGGGCCGGAGCGAGGGAACGCACCCCGGCCGCCGGCTGTCCCAGGTTCCGGTTTCTCTCTCCCTGGAAGATCAGTCTGAAGGGCCGGGTGGGGGTATTTACAAGTCCTTCCCACTGCAGAGCGGGGGTGGGCTGCTTGGCGGAGCCCGTGGTGGGCAGCCCGGGGGGCGCTCCTCGGTCAGCAGCGCAGGGAACGGGGCCTGCCCCTCCGGCTCCCGCCTCGAGGGCGCCACTGCCCTAGATGGACACTTCATACTTCCACGTCTCCTGGGGAGAAAAAGGCCTGCAGAGGGTTGGGCATGTGGAATTTCGGCCAGCAGGCACACGCCCCCCCCAGCCCTGCCCCCCCATGCCTTGTTTCGGGGCGGCTGCTGGCCGCTGTCCAGGTGCATGCAAGAACACACGGCCAGGGGCCCTCCCAGCGTCATTCAGCCCCCCCCAGCCAGAAATGCAACGCCCCCCCTTGCCACATCTCTGCCAACGCCTCCGTCTCCCCAGTCTTCAGCGGCGAGTGCAGACGGAGGCCGGACAACAGCTGGGTGAGCTGCTCCGCTGGCCTCCGCTCGCTGCTGAGACAACATCGCTGTATTGCCAGAGCAGGGAGCAGCTGCAGCCCGCCGGACCGCCGTCCACGGCCCTCGCTGCCTCTTGCCTTACTCTTGCTACTGCCTCCGCCGGGCAACGAAACGGGAGAGCTGGTCTGTAGCATGTGAGGTCGGCGTGGCTCCTGAGACTCCCCAAAGTGCCCCCCCACCCTTCCTCTCTCCTCATCCAACGCTCAGGACAAGGGCTCAAGGCGAGGCTGCTGAAGGGCCTTTGAAAGGCGGGCTGCTCCGGAGGGTTGGGGGCTGCCAGCCTTTGCCCCCCCCCCAGCCCAATTGGCTGCTCACAGGGTCTACGAGCTGATCCCCCCTCCCGGGCCAGGCGGAGGGGAGGGAAGGGCACTTACTCCGGCCTCGTAGGTGGGGTTGTCAAAGGCGGAGTCCACCGTGATGTGGTCGTAGGGGTGCGAGCCGGACAGGGGCAGCTGCAGAGACGGCTTCCCTTGGTGCCTGAGTGAGCGGGAGGGCACAGAGGTCTGGGGAGGAAGAGGAGAGCGCGGCCCGGCCCGGCCCGCGTCTTCCCCCCATTGCTCCCCAGCGCCGTGGGTCCCCGCGGTAAGAGCTCACCTGGAGATGTAGAGGTACACGGCTCCCAGGAGGAGGCCCACGGCCGCCACGGGCAGGAAGACGGCGAAGGCGACGTTGCTGCCTTGGAACGGGTCCCCGGCTGGGGCCGCTTTGGCCACGGCTGGCAAGAAAGGGGCAGATGAGGTGCCCGGAAGACCCCCGCTCTCAGCACACAGCTTGCGAGGGGCTCCCTGCTGCGGGGGAGGAACGGGCCCTGATCCAGCCATTTGGGCGACAGACATGCAAGAGTCTCCTTCTCGTTGGCAACTTGGGAAATTATTCTATTTAAAAATGTTTTAACAAATAATAAATAAATAAATAAATAAATAAATAAAATGCCGCCTGCTTTTTTCAGACGTGAAAAGATGGATTTGCGGGGTGTGTGTGTTTCAGGGCATGTGCTGCAAACAGGTGCACATGGATTCCTGACTGGAAAGAGGAGGAGAGGGGCTGCCCACAGCCAGCAAAGGAGTCTGTGGGGAGCTAATTATGCTGGGGGCCCCCCCGGGGTGCAGAAGTCGGCAGGGAGGCATTTCCACGAGACGGGGGCTTACCGTCCAGGTTGCGACTGGTGTAAAACTCGTCGTGGGAGGCTGGAAAAGAAGCAGAGGGGGTGGTGGAGGAGGGGGTCCTGGGGCCGGGCCAGGGGCATGCTCTGCCCCTGGGAAGGCTGGGGTCTTCAGGGCTGTCCTTACCCCATGGGGCCACCCCGGAGAAGGCCATGGATCTTCGGCCACCTGTTGGCAAGGCGTGGGGACCCGGGGCTCCAAACGCCGGTGCCGGGCAGGCCCACCTGGCCTGGGCCGTGGCCGTGGGCCCCCTCCAGATGCCGCTCCCCACCCGGGACTGACGGGGACCCATGGCGGGCCACGCCCCCCCGGCCCCGTACGGCTGTGCCCCACTCCCGGAGAGACTCACCGGCCTTGCAGAGCGGGGGGGAGCCGTTCCACTGCGAGGGGTGGCCGGGCACGCAGCGCAGGGTGCTGGCCCCCAGCAGCACATAGCCGGCCGCACAGGAGAACTGCAGGGTGGCGCCCGCCTGGTAGAGCCGGCTCTCGGGGCGCTGGGCGCCGTGGTCGGGGCTGCCGGGGTTGTGGCAGGGCTCGTACACCTCGGCTGGAAGAGGCAGCGCCGTTGCCGTGTGGGCTCGCTCGGCCCAGCCCTCCTGGCCCGCCCGAGCCCCCGTGGCGGCCCTCGGGCCGGGCCCCGCGAGCGCCGCGGTGGCGCGCCCGGACTTACGGGTGCATTTGGGCAGCCGGTCGCTCCACTTGGGGCCCCCGGCCTGCCGGTCGTGGCAGACGAGCTCCCGGCTGCCGGCCAGGGCGTAGCCCTTGTCGCAGACGAACTGGACCGTGGCGCCGACGGGGAACCGGTTGGCGGAGACCAGGCGGCGGCTGTGCTCCACGTCGCCGGGGTCCTGGCACGTGGTCACTGCGGAGGGGAGGGGGCAGCGTGGGACGGGGAGGGCGGCCCTGGGTGCGAGGCCGTGCAGAGCAGGGGGGCCGGGATCCCGAGCGCAGGGGAAGCCGTGCGCTCCCGCGACGCCTCTCCCCTCCCGGCACGCAGAGGGTCCCGCGGCAAGAGCGGGCGCCAGCAGGGGGAGCCCTCTGGCCGGCCAAAGCGCGGCACTGGCGCAGGGGGGGCCGGGTGCCGGGGGACGGGGTCTCCATGGGGCGCCCCAGGCGCTGCTGGGCCGCAGGGCCCGATCCACAGATGGGAACCCTGCGGGCGCATCCGCCTCTCGGCCCCTAATGCTGCGGGGACCCCCTGGGGACAGGCGGACTGGGAAGGGAGTGCCAGTCTTCCCGTCTTGCTTGGGAATCCCATTCCCACACAGCCCCCTCCCCAGGCAGTCGCCCAAACTCTCTCAAGCTGCTGCCCCAGGTCTCCCCTCTCGCCACCTTGCCGAACTGGGGAAGGCAGCGAAAGCAGGGCTGAGGACGGCCCGGGGCCGGCCATGGTCCCTGGGGGCTCCTCGGGGGCCCCCCCTTTCCCGGCCCCCCGATCGTGTGGGCACTTCCCGGCTGCTCCCCCCTCTTGAGGCTGGGATCGCCTCTCCCACGCGAAGCCACGGGTTCCGCGAGCGGCATGCTAAAGCCAGCGGGCGGCCTGCCCCAGCATCCAGCCCCCGAGACGCAGGGCAGCCCTGGCGCGGAGGGGGCCGCCCCGGCGAGCGGTCCAGGGGTGCCCGGCTGCGCCCCGCTCACCTCGCTGGCACGAGGGCAGGTCCCCGCTCCACATCAGGTCCCAGTGGCACATCAGCAGCTCGGTGCCCAGCAGCTCGTACCCCGGGTAGCAGTGGTACGTCACCACGGTGCCGTGGATCAGCTCCGGGTGGGACGTGGTCTTCCAGCCGTTGGGGATGTCCGGCAGCTCCGGGCACGTGTCGTTGCGGGGCACCTCTGTGGGGGGAGAGCGGCCGTGAAGGGGGCTGCTGCCGCGGGAGGGGGCCGGGGCCCGGGCCGCCCTGGAAGCCGTCTTGCTCGAGCGGAGCGATGGCACCCTTCCCGGATCCCTGATACTGCCGCCTTCTTTGAGCCCAGGGGCGCCCCCAGGACCTAATGCCCAGGACAGGCAGTGTGGCAGAATGGTTAGAGCAACGGGCCAGGTTTCAAGGTATCTGGGCCATGAGGCTTGGCCATGAAGCCCCCTGGCTGACTTCGGGCCATCTGTGGACTCTCAGCCCGGTCGACCTCGCAGGGCCGTTGGGAGAGTAAAACGGGGCAGAGGGAGCAGGTGCCTGTGGCCTTCGCTTCCCTGCAGGAGGGAAAAGTCGGGGCCGAAGCTGGTTCGGTAGCTCAGGCATCTGGATCTCCTCCGGGCCGTCACTCTGCCCGGGCCGCAGACGCCCAAACCCCTCTGCAACTCAGCGGCCCTCTGTTAGTCTGCAAATGCATTTTTCTGCCTCCAGAAACAGGCCAGGCTGGGCACTGCAGGCCCTTTCGGCCCAGAGGTGGCTGTGGGGGTGCCTGGCCCATTCCTGCTCGCCCGACGAAACCTGCCGGACGCTGGCGCCCTGGGGCTGCCCATCCACTCCGGATTTCACTCCGAACCGTCCAGGAGCTTTCCCGGTGGATGTGCAGCCCGCCACCGGCAGGGAATGAAAAGAGTGTTTCCGCAGGATCGGATTTGCTCCAGTGATGTAATAAGCATTGTCTGACGACGAACATTGTGAATATCCAAGCAGATGAACATGAATCCACAAACACGCACACAAACATTCATAAATAATAGATTTTTTTTCCGCCTTCGGGACAAATATTGTCTTCTTTGAAGCCTGGCTTAAGCAGCCAGTGAATGCAGGGCTGCTGCTGTGCGAGGAGAAAGACAGAGAAAGAGAAACGCGGAAAGAAAGTGAGAGAGAAGCATGAAAAGAAAGAGAGAAAGAGAAAGAGAAACATGGAAGGAAAGAGAGAGAGAAATGGAAAGAAAGAAAGAAAGAGAAACATGGAGAAAGAGAGCAAGAAACATGGAAAGAAAGTGAAAGAGAAGCATGGAAAGAAAGAACGAGAGAAACGGAAAGAAAGAAAGAGAGAGAGAGAGAGAGAGAGAAACATGGAAAGAGAGAGAAACATGGAAAGAAAGAAAGAGAAAGAGAAATGTGGAAAGAGAGAGAGAGAGAGAGAGAGAGAGAGAGCGAGAAACATGGAAAGAAAGAACAAGAGAAACAGAAAGAAAGAGAGAGAGAGAGAAAGAGAAAGAAACGTGAAATGAGAGAGAGAGTGAGAGAGAGAGAACAATTCACAGGACCTGATGCCAACATTGCCATTCCGGTTGCGGGTCCCCCGTGCCCACTCCCTTTCCAGTTCCGCCAGAAGGAAAGGACCGGACGGGCGACCGCCCCGAAGGGCCCGGCTGCCCAGGCCGCGCGCCCCTCGCCTCCCCCTTACCGGCGAAGTGCACCACGAAGCCGCTCTGGTAGCCGGTGCCGCTGCCGCCGGGGTCCGACTGGAACTGGACGGTGACGTCGGCCATGGAGGTGTAGAGCCGGAAGCGGGCGTGGGGGCCCGAGTACTGGCCCAGGACGCGGGCCGTCAGGTCGTCGCCGTCGTAGAAGGTCAACACGTCCCCCTTGCCGAGGCGCAACCTTTGGAGAGGCAGGCGGAGGGCCGTCCGTGACGCGGCGGGGGCCCGGGGCCGGCGCCTGGGGGGCTCGCACGGGCCCCGCCTGCTCTGGGGCAGGCCGTGCGGGCGCAGGCAGCCCCGTGCTCAGCCCCTAGGGGCAAAAGCGGCGCCCTCTAAGAGCGGCCTGGAATCGCCAGCGGCTGAAGACCCACGCGAGCCCGGACGGAGAGGGAAACCGGGGCAGCGAGATGCGGATCCCCCCCCCCCCGGTCTGGGGGCCGCGCACTCACACTCGGATGTCCAGCATGATGCGCTTGTCCTCCTCCACGTGAAGCCCCCAGATGCAGTCCTGGCCCTTCCCGTAGGGCTCCGGCCAGTTGGGGGACAGCACCACCCCCGTGGCGTCGGTGATCTCCCCGCTGCAGACGGCTGCGGAGACGCACCGGGAGGGCTCAGCGGCGCCGGCCTGTGGCCCAGGGGAGCCCTTCCAGGCACCCGCCTCAGAGGGGGTGCTGAGGCTCAGCCGCCTGCTCCCCCGCCCCGGAGACAGGGGCCCCCGCAGCCCGCTCCCCGGCCGGCCAACTGGCCGGCCCCCCACCTCGGCAGGCCGGCTCCGTCTCGTTCCACTGGGGGCTGGCCGGGTCGACGCACTCGATGACGACCGAGCCCTGCTCCAGCGTGTAGCCGGCCTCGCAGGCGAACTCCACGGTGGTGCCCACGGCGTACGTCCCGTCGCTGGCAGTGAAATTCCCGTTCTTGACGAAAGGCTCATAGCAGTGCCCGGGTTCGAAGGCTGCGGGGGCGAGACGCGGGGCGGCCCCATGAGCGCCGAGGGTCCCGGGCGCGGGGGAGGAGAGGCCCCCGGTGGGGGAGCGGGTCGAGCCCTCCGGGGCTGCCCGGGGGATGAGCTCCCCCACCCCAGAGCCCTTCTGCTCGGCCACTGATCGCAGGCTGGCTGCCCGTCCGTTGTGCTGTGCCCGCCCTCTCCCTGCCAGGCTGGAGACCTCCCTCGATGCTCAGAGCATGTAACCCCAGGGCAGGTGGGGGCGCCTGGCTCTGCCCACCCGGGAATGGACGCTGCGGCATCCCAAGGCACGGCGGGGAGCCGCTTTCCCCCTAAAACCCCTCCCGGGTCCTCCGTTGAGGGCCGGCGCCTTGCGCGGGCGGGGAGGCCACAGCCCAGATGGGGAGTGCCGTGGTTCCCCCCTTCCGCCGCCCCACTGGCTGTCTCCCCACCCGCCCGGGGGCCGCCGGGCTGAGCGGCTCCCCGGACCCCGGGCTCAGGCCGCAGGGGGCGCCCCATCCGTCCCGCCGCTCACCCTCGTAGCGCAGAGCCATGCCAGCGGCCACCCCGCTGCTGTCCGTGGTCAGCTCGATGAAGAAGGCGCGGGCCGTGCTGAGCAGCCCCTCGATGGGCAGGTACTCGACCTCGTAGGAGTCGTAGCCCGGCGGGGCCTCGATGTTGTCCCCGTTGCGGATGATCAGCCTGCGGGAGGAGAAGGACCCCCGGCGGCCTGCAGAGCTGCTCCGGGGAACAGCTCCGGCTCTCCGCCCGGCCACGGGGAGCCATCCCGCTGGAGGTGAGCGCAGAGGCAGGGGCGCCGGGCCCCGCGCGGGACTGCAGTCCCCGTCAGCCAGGAGGGGCCGCGATGCCCCCGGACGTCCGGCGGCGAGCCAAGCCCAGGGCACCGAGTCCGCGGGGCAGAGCGCGCCTGTGGGAGCCCGGCCCGGCCCCCCCGGCCAGCACCCCCCGGCCCGGCCGCCCCGCAGCACACCTGTCGTCGTCCTCAGCCAGCGAGACCTTCTCGAAGTGCAGGTGCAGGCGCTGCCCGGCTGGCGCCTCCAGCAGCCAGTGGCAGGTGAGGTTGTTGCTGTAGTTGGCCGGGAAGCCCGGGGAGACGATGCGGCCGGTGGTGGCGTTGCGCAGCACCCCGCCGCAGGCCGCTGGAAAGGACGGGGGCGGTCAGGGGGCGGCACGCGCCCGGGAGGGGTCCCCCAACTCGGGACTCGTCCCCCTTCCCCGATCTCCCTCCTGGCATGGGTCCTGACTCGCGGTGGCATCGGAGTGGGCGCCTCCCTCCCCGTGAAAATGGCTGTGGCGTCTGGTGCCTGCTTTCCCCCGGACGCGCACTGAAAGCGCGTGTTTTGGAAACGTTGCACCGTCCTCTCTGCAACCAGGGCCCCTGGGGAGCGCACACTGTGGAAGCGCGTGTGTTTCACAAGCACGTTTCTGCAACAGCGCCGAAGGCTTGGGCAGCGCTCGCCCTCCGCTCGCCTTTGGCTCTGGAAGGTGCGCCTGGAAGGAGTACCGCCTGGGGAGCCGATTTTCCGTCAAGGACCCCAGCTTTCCTTCTGGGCGGCGCACATGGAAGGCAGCAGCTTCCTCGCCAGCCCCTCCCCTCCCCTCCCCACGCCCGCGACTTCGCTCACCGACGCAGGTGGGCTCCGGGGCACTCCAGAACGGATGCGTGGCATTCAGACACGTGAGGCAGTGCTGGCCCTCCAGCTGGTAGCCGACGGCACAAGAGAAGCAGGCGCGGCCACCGGGGTGGACGCTCGTGACTGAGAGGTCTCCGTAGGCTGGACGGGCGGGGAAGGCGCAGCTCAGCAGGTAGGCTGGGGAAAGGAAGACAAGACTGAAACTCAGCTTGAGGCAGCGTTATTTTTCCTCTACCCTCCCCATCGCTTTTCCTCTCGTGCTGTGGCTTTCAGATCATCAGCCCAAGGGCAGGCTCTGTTTACTCGTGAACTGCGTAAGCCAGGTGAATGAGCTGCAGAAGAAGGGACTTATTAAAGGAAGGGTTGGGAACGGCCCTTCCCGTGGCTCCCGGTTTCAGGGGCCGGGACAGAGGTGGGGGCTTGGACCAGGTAACTTCTACTGGCCCATCTCTCCCTCACCCGACCCTGATCTCTCCGTCCAGGCCTGGCCTTCACAACTGCCCAGGAGCCAGAGGCTGGGGGCGAGTCCGGGACATTTCTCATCTGCCGACTCTTGCTCAAAGAGCCCATGTTCCCCAGCAATCGGGGAACAACAGCATGCTTCCTCAGATGCTGGAGGGGCGGGCAACCACCAGGACTAGCAGCCACCAAACGCCTTCTCCCGCAGGATGTAATCCAGCTCCCTTTTCCAACGCCATCCCTGCTGTTCCGAGTCCCCATTCCGAAGACAGCAGCTCCGTGCGGAAGCTCTCGCCACGCAGCTCCCCGCCTCCGGCCCTGCCCTTCCCCGGAGGTGTGCCGGGATTTATTCCGGGACCTTCCGCAGATGTGTCGGGATTTATCCCGGGACCTTCCGCGTGCCGCCTGTCCCTTTCTCCACCTACAAAGTCCAGCGTTCCGCTGACCACGGAGCTCGCCGTTTGTTCCCTATTTCCCACGGCGATGCCAGATCATTCGGTTCCTCACAGCCGTGAGTTCCTCCAGCCTTGGGCTGACTCGCCGGGGCCGATCCAGACCGGCAGCCTCCTCCTTTCCCAGGCTGCCCGCTTGGGCCTGTGGGGCCACGAACGAGCCGTGGGGTGAGGCGGCTCGCCTGTCCCCGCGCTGCTTCCGGGCGGGCGCTTCCCTGCGTTGCGCTTCCCTGCTGAGCTGTGTGCGCAGGCCGCCCCCGCCGAGGGGGAGAACCGTTGCACCCCCGTGCGCACAGCACGGTCCCAGATCCCACCTTTCCGACCGCTCCAGGGTGCCGGGCTCTCCGGATGAGGGAAGGGGCGAGAGACGGGCGCTGCCCCCTTCCCACTCCGGGCACAAATGCCAGCACCCGTTTGGGGGCGCCGGCCAGGGGCTTGGGCTCGCGGAGGGGTCCGGGCCGTGCCGATCCGGAGAGCCGCGCCGTCGGATGTGGTGCGCAGGTCTACATCGGCAACAGTGCCCCCTTTGCAGTGCACCAATTTAGCTAATTGCCGGGACCAATTATCTCCTCGTTAAGTGCAGTCTCCTTGGTGGGTGCCCGCTTTAACCTGGCAGCCGTGGCGATTAGCTCCGGTAGCGATTAGCACGTTCCCAATTAGCTAATTGCGCTGCAGCTGCAGGGGAAATCCGCCACGGCGCTGCCGCCCGTGTGCCAGGGCTGGGCGGGGTGGCGCGGTGCGGTGCGGCATTTCTCGGCGCTGCCTGTCCGCGTGCCGGGCCATGTAGTGGGAGTCGGGGGCCCTGGCCTTTCCCTGCTCGCACCCCACCCTGGCGGGACTTGGATCGAGCGTCACAGAAGCCTCCCCGGCTTTCGGACAGCGGGAGAGTCGCAACCACTCCCCTGCTCTCTTGGCACAATCTTGCAGCAGGGAGTTCCCCAGGTCAATTATGCATCGCTCATTCCCAGGGTGGGCAATCCCCCAATTTCCAGATGGTTTTCCCTATTCCCAAAGGCTAAATGCCCCTTCTAATGGTTCTCAGACCTCACCTTGCTTTCAAAACGCAAACGAGTGGGGAAATGGACATGCCCACGGATGTTCAAGGACAGGCTGGACGTGCCCATGGTGGGCACGTCGTGAGCGGAGCCGGCTGGAGCCGGGGGTCAGACTAGATGGCCCGGGAGACCCCTTCTGCCTCGCTCTGTTTCTATGCTGCTATGGATTCGGTCCATCTTTGTGGAAGCTTCGGTCAAGCTGACGCATTCAAACGCACGCCCTTCTCTGCCTGTGTCCTTTTCCCAGCGGGTTTGTTCCGGTCCAACCCTCCCGCACAGCCGTGGCAGGAGCGGCCCGTCTCACCTTCGAAGAGGAACTGGAAGTTTCCCGGGGTGGCGGGTGTGGGGCTCTGGAAGCGCACCGCCACCTGGTTCGTGGGGCCGCGGATCACCTGCCCACGCATCAGGAAGGACTCGTTGGCCAGCGCCACGGGCTCCGCGCCCCCCAGCGTCTCCACGGTCACCGTCTCGCCCTCGCCGAGGCTGATGTTCTGGACCTGCCGAGAGAGAGGGAGTGAGCGGAGGCGCCCGGCGGGGATCGTCCGGCTCGGAGCGATGTGAAGGCGCACGACGGCGTCATGGCCGGGCTGGGCCGGGCCCGGATCCTCCGTCTGGCCTGCCTCGCAGGGTTGCCGGGGCCACGAAGGTGGGGAAGAGGCGGCGTGTCGGCAACCGAGCAGCCAGGGGGCCCCAGAAGAGCCGCGCTGGATCCGGGCACGGTCCATCAAGGGCCAGCCTGCGGCCCTCAGGACCCCAGGCTGCAGCGGCACTCCCCCACCCGTGTTCCCCAGCAGCTGAGCCCCCCCCCCCCCCGATCCTGTGCAATCTGCTGGAAAGGCCCCTCGGACGGGCGGCCACCCGGCACGTCCCGGAAGCAAAGCCCAGCATCCACCCTGCTCGGTGGGAAGTGGCCTCCCTTGGCTGCATGCCTCTCCCACCCCTCAGCTTCGTGGGCTGGCCCACGGGGTCCGGCTTCGAGAGACGGGCAGAGAAGCGCCTGCCCCCCGCTTCCGGCACTCTGCGCACGCCCTTGCCCCCTCCCCCCAGTCCCTCTCCCCCCCGCCCCCTTTCGACAGGGCTAAATGGCGCCCTCCGCCCGAGCAATCCCCCCCGAGCCCGACGCTGCCACTCGGGATGGACGGATCCGCTGCTCCCCCATGTCGGCCTCCTCGCAATCGCGCATCAATCCGTCATCTGCATCGCGCTCCCACTGCGATTCATATTCAAATATGCATCTTGGAGCATCTTTCTCGGCCGTCCGGCTGTCAGTTATCCCCAGATGAGCACTTCCGAACCATTTCCTCTCGCTGTGCTTGCGACGCGCGAGGAAGGGCACCTTCTGGAAGCTTCCACCCCGCCACGCGTCGCTCCCCAGTCCCGCCTCGGGTCCTTGGAAGGGGTGAGGAACCAGTGGGGCCGGGGAAGCCTTCCCCAAAATTTGTGGGACGGTTCCCAAACAGCAGAAAGGGAGAACAGGGGCTGCGACCAAGCCGCTCTTTTAATTTACTTTCTCCTGCGACGCTCGCGATCCGTCGCTTATTTCTGTCCACTCTTGGTGCACATGCTGTGGGTCCTCATACGGGCATTCGGCTCAATCTGCAGTATTTTGGCCTCTTCTGAAGGGCCTTCCACACATGCTCAGAGGCACTCTTGCCAGCTGCTACATCCTGGCACAGTGCCGGTTGTCTCCAGCTCAAACCGGTGTCTGCTGAATGGGGCAATTCGGAGGTGCCTCCCGGCAGGCAGGGGGACCTCGGCTCTCTGCACGCGTCCCATGAGCCCCATGGCTGCCGCATCACCAGCAGCAGCAGCAACACAGCTTATCCTGATGAACGAGCCGCGGTCCCCGTCTCTCGTTAGAGTGGTGATTGTATATTAATTACGGTAATTAAACCGCACCGCTCGGTGATTAACGGCCAGAGACAGGAGCTTCCTCGCACTAATTGCACCAAAGGTGCCGGAGACGGACCGGCTGGGGGCGCAGAAGTGTGGGGAACCGAGAGCCAGATGGCTGGCAGTGTCCCCCTCCGTGGCACACTGGGATGCGGCGTGATTTATGGGATAGCGGCTCTGAAGGGGCGGCGCGGGGCTGGGGCGGACGGGGCGGAAGCAACTCAGATTGGTTTTGCCTCCCCGCAAATCCCGGCTATCGATCCCTGTTTTTAAAATTCTATCTGGGCTTTCGAGGTTCCTATTTATGGCTTGGGTTGAGGAGTTTTCGGGGAAGGGCTGGCGGAAGAAATGGCCGGGAACGGAAGGGGGCAGGTTATGGCGTGAGCCCCCACCGGGAAGGGGAACAGGGGAAGGAAGGTGTCTTCACGCCGAGACCCCGACCGAGGCGCCTGAATGCGGCCTGCGTGAGAAGGAAGCCCAGGCGCATGCACTTCGGGGTCATTCCGCTTTTGGCCAGAATAATTGCGACGTGTCGGTGCAAGCGAAGCCTGTCGTACCAGCTTCGGTCACTAGGTGGCACTTGCCCCTCACGGGGCCAGCCGGCTCAGAGCCAGGCCTCTGTGAGTGGGGTGGACAAAGGTTTGTGTGTTTCGACAGCGTGGAGTACTACAATTCCTGGCATGTGCGGGGAGGAATCCTGGGAGCCGCAGGGCCTTCCCTTCCCTTTCCCCTTTTCCTTGTCTTCCTGCGGCCAGCAGGAAGGGGTAAAAAAGACCAAGAGCAGAGATGCACAGCAAGGATCGGAGAAGCGGGGCGTCCAGGCAGGAGCCGGAGCCACGGCCAAGCGAGCGGAAACGTGGCCCGGGAGAGCGTGGCCTCCCTGGGAGAAGCCTCACGGGAGGCCGTGGGGGGCGGCCCCTCTTTCCGTCCTGCTGCGAGCGCCGCTCGACGGCCTCCCGCCGCAGAGGGCTGCAGCGAGCGGGGAGCCCCTGCGTGGCACGTGGGACGCTGGAGGGGTCCCCACAGCCCCCCGGGGCACCACGGCTGCCGGTCCGTGCCGGCACGGCCGGGCTCGGTGGACCGGGCTCCGGGGGGCAGCAGGCAGCCGCCCGCCTCTCCATTTCCAGCTCAGAGGCAGACCCACGTGGTCCCAGCTGAGAAGCGAAGCCCCCAGGACATCCTGCACGAAAGCTCGGTTTGACAGACCGGCTCTTGGGCCCGCTGCCTGTTTTTCACACCTCGCCTGGGGGATTCCTCACTCCCCAGCAGGGCCCTCGAGGGCCGCCAGCCGCGCGCGCCCCCCAGCCCCTGCTGCCGCTCGGGGCTGCAGGCAATCAGCCAGCCTGGCCCATGCGCCAGAGCCCCCCCCCCCCCGCCGCTGGCAAGCCTCGCTCGGAGAGCCCTAATGAAGCCCCAGGGGGCAGGCGCTGGGGGAACAGGTATTGTTGAAATGTCGGCCAAATGCCACAGGTATCGATTTGACATTTGCTTCGGTGTTTCGGAGCAGCCACGGCTGGCTGCCTCCCCCCCGGGCGCCGCTCTGCGCTCGCGCTGCTTCATAAAATGCAGCTAGTTCTCCTCGCGGCTGGCGAGCCCCACGTTTCCCTGCGCCCCCCACCCCCCAGGCTTTCCGCTTCTCTGCCACCCACGTCAGGCCTTTGCAGCTCCGAGGCGCCCTGGGGGAGCGCCCCAATTCCCGGGAGCGGCCGCTGGTCCTGGTTAGCAAAGAAGGGGAATCGGCCGGGTCCTCCGTCTCCCCAAGGAAGCCAACCTTCTCTCCCCGCACACCGCAAAGCCCTGATCCTCAGGTAGCTCCCTGGCCGCCGTGCGTTCCCCGCATCCCTCATGAGAAGAACATAAGCCTCTGGCACACGGGAGGCCCTGCTTTGGCTCCCAGAAGGTCCCCAGGAAGCAGGAGTTCACAGGAAGCCAGGAAAAGCCTCGCTGGATCAGGCCGAGGGGCCGTCGAGTCCGCCCTTCGGTCCGCACGGTGGCCGAGCAGCTGCCCCCTTGGGAAACACACCGCCCATGTTTCCCAGCAACTGGCATACATAGGCAGACAGACTCTGATCCTGGAGCTGGCACAGGGCCATGAGGACTAGCCACATGGGTGGTCCCATCTGCCAAGAATGGGTCTATTCCCCTTTTGGAGTCGTCCAGACCGGTGGAAGCAAATCCCACAGTCTGAGTTACTTCGCAGCTCACGCTCGCAGCGGGACCGGAGTCGTCGGTGGAGAGGAGACCTTGCAGTGCCCCCCCTTCCTCTCTTGAGCGCCCAAACCTTTGCAAACCCTTTGGAGCCACAACTCGTCCCTGCGCTGGCAAGGAAAGCTTCGCCCCGTTGTCTGGTCCGGGCACCCCTGCCGAAAAGCACTCGCCTTCCAGATCCCCCCTGGATTTGGCCTCATCCGACTCCGGGATCGGGGCGCAGAACCCTGGCGCAGGGGCCAAGCCCAGCCAGTCCAGCACCCCAGGGGGGCCCTCCTGGGGGCCCAACTGGCCACGCACGCTCGGGGGCCGGCGGCGTGTGCGCAGGGTCTTCCCCCCAGCCCGGGCTTCCTCGGGGGCCCTCCAAGGCGAGCCCAGCGGGGCTCCCGGCTTTGCCCCCTCTGCCCCCCCACCCCCAGAAGCGGCCCGGAGCCTTCCCAAGGCCGACACAGCCCGGCAGCTCCCCCCCGCCCGCCCCCGCCCGGATCACTCACCCGGATCTCGACGCCGTAGCCGGGGTAGACGGAGATGGTGTAGGCGCACTCCAGGACGCCCCGCTCGGACGGGATGCCGGACGGCACGGGGGAGGCCAGCGACCCCTTGGGGCCCGTGAGGTTCCAGCTGCAGGACCCTGCGGTGCGGAGCAGAAGGGCCGGGTGAGCAAGGCTGCCAGCCCTCTCTGCGGCCCCAGCGGGGCTCCCCCAAAGCGATCGTCCGCCCCCGGCCCTGGGGCTCCTCGCTCGCATCCGGCGTATTCCCAGCGGCTCGGCAGGACCGGGGATTCTGCGCAGAGCCCAGCGAGCGCAGCTCTGCAGGCGCCTGGCCCGCGGCTTCTGGCGTGGACTGGGTTTTTGTCGAGTTGCAGGAACTCCCGGGGTTCCCAAGGATGTGCCGACCCTTGCGGCAGCAGCAACAGAAGTCTCAGATTTGCACACAGACTCGTTTGCACGGACGCAACGAGGTTTCCCCGCGTCCCGAGGGAAGAGCCGGGGAAGACGGTGGCCCCGGATGCCGGCGAGGGGCAGCCGACGGGCCGAGAGCCAGCCTGGGGTGTGGCGCGCCGTCCCAAGCCAGTTCGCGAGAGCCCCGCAGACGGGGCGGAGGGGTGGGGGCGTCTCCCCACCGGCCCTCCGCAGCTCGCATCTGGGCAGCGGGCGCACAGGCACATGGGAACCGTGGCTGCAGCCTTCCGCGCTCCGGCGAGGCGCTCCGCGGTCTATTTCCAGCCCGGAGCCGGAGCCCGCCTCTGAATGGGTGTCTAGACATAGAAAAGCGCACAGGCCAGGCTAGGGAGACCGCAGCTCCCCCCGCCGGCCACTCCACGCACCTGCGGGCGGCAAGGCGCTGACCGTGGAGGCGACGTCGGCGGCAGGTGAGGGCGTCCCATCCTCCCCGGCTGTCGCGCCGGGCGAGGCCTCTTCGGGCTCCGCCGTGGGGGTGTCCACGAGTGACTCGACGCCGGTGGCCGGCCCCGCGCTGGGGGGGCCCTCCTGGAAAGCCCCTGCAGGGCGGGCTTCCGGCAGCTCCGTGCGGCAGGGGCTGGGGGTGGTCTGGGGGCCCGGCTGCCCCGGCGCCCCCCAGGCCTCCGGGTGCCCCCGGGCCGTCGTCAGCGGGGCGGCGGGGACCCCCGGCCCGGCCGGCCTCAGGGGAGGGGCGGCGGCCTCGGAGGGGGCCGGGCGGCCTGCGGGGGCGGCCAGGCTGTTGGCGGGGGCCAGGGCGACGTCGGCCCCCGGGCGGACTGGCCCCAGCCCGAGCAGCCCGGCCGCCAGGAAGGGGACCTGGCGCAGCGCGTCCTCGTGCAGCAGGTCGTCCAGCAGCGGGTGGTGGTTGAGCAGCCTCAGGGTGGGCGCGGTGGTGACGAAGCCGGCCTCGCGCTCCGGCTCATCCGGGGTGGGGGGCACGGTCCGCCCTCCGCCGGCCTCGGGCCCTCCGGGCTTCTCGGGCTCCTCGGGGGGAAGGCCTGCCGTGGGAGATGGAGAGAGAGGAGGGCGCCGTGAAAAGCCAGCCGAGGGAGCTCCGCGAGAGCAGGGCCGGGGGACGGAGCAGCCGCCCAGTCTCCAGCCTCTGGCAGGGGACAGCAGCCGGGCCGTGGATCCGCTCATTTGAAGCACTTCGTTTAAGAGCAATGGATTAGAAACACTGGAAAAGGAAAATGTCGGGAATTCAAAGGCATGGCGAAAAAGGCACTGCTTTCTAAAAGCCTGGGCACTTGTTTGTGGAAGAAAAGCTCCATAAACAAACCAACAGCAGAGTTTGGGGGCAATTCAAGAGAAAGCCCCTTCTGACAGAGGAGGAAAGGACCCAGAAAGTGTCTAATCCCCCCCTCTTTTTACAAACCCATCTAAATTAGGTCTGGCCGTCTTGCCCAGTGACATGTCGCTGTGGAGAGGACAGCTTCGATGGGGCAGCCCCTCTGAGCTCCACAGGGCTCCGTGTCTCATTCCCGAGACCGCGGGTTTTATCCGCAGCGCTTTTTTAAGCACCAAACAGCTTTGGCTTCTGCTCAGCGGTCGCAGGAGTAGATTGAGAAGCTACTCAAATGAGAAAATGTGTAATTGGCGAGCAGAGACAGAACAGCAGTGGTGGGGGGAAGAGGACCTCACGGTGCGAGCAGGTTTCCCCGGGGTATAAATAGGGGCTGATTTCGAGGGAGCGGGGAAATAGTGATGGATGAGCAGGGCAGCCGCTTTGCGAGGGGTCCGTCAGCCGTCGCTGAGTTCGAGAAATGATTACGCCCTGCTCCTCTCCTCTCCGTGCGGCTCAGAAGGCGAAGCCGGGGAGCGACTTCGAAGCCCCGAGGCTGGTGCTGGAGGAGAAGGGTCAGGCTGCCGTTGTCAAGGGACGGCTCTTTGCAAAGACAAGCTCTGCCAGGAGGCCGTTAGGCCGCAGCTAACGGGCTCATGAAGAAGACGGACGGCTGGATCGCTGAACCGGGCAGGTGGAGGGCGGAAGGGGCCGGGATCCGGGGTGAAGCCCTTCCGGCCGCTGCCGGCAGCAGTGGTGCCCAACCTATCGGCCCAAGGGCCGGAGCCCAGACCGAAGAGCCCCCGAGGGCCGTGCCCGGGGGGCGGGGCCAGAAGCGAAGGGGCGGGGCTCGGGCAGGCCGCCATCCGTCTGGTCCAGCACGGCCCCCCCGCCAGCCGCCCGGAGAAACCCAACGTGGCCGCGCGCGTCTTCCCCCGGCAGCTGCCCCGGCAAGGCGCGCCGGCTGCGCAATCTGTTATTATTAATTTTAAAGAACAAAATGCGGAGGGAGAGCGGCGAGGGAAGGCGGCAGAAACCCGAGCCGTGCTATAAAGCCAAATAAGCCGAGCTCAAAAGGAATCTGACAGCCGCATCTAAAAAAAGCAGCAGGGGGAGAAGCAGAAGTCAAACACCCGCTGGAAAAGAATTGTTTAATCTACACACACACACTGCCTTTTCATTCATATTCCCAAGGCGGTGCGTGCAAACAGCAGAGAGGCTGCGAAAAGTCGGCGCACCGGCGCCGAGAGGGACGGCGGAAGGGCAGCGGCGCGGAAGTCGACGGGCCGCGCGCCGCTCGGCTGCGGCTCAGAGGCGCCGCGTGCCGGGGAGCGCCAGCCCTGCAGGGCGGGCCGGTTCGGAGGGAGCGGCCTTTCGGCAAGCTCTCCATCCCGGCGCCAAGCGACGCGCGGGGGGCCAGCCGGCGCCTGCTCCGTGCGCGGAGGCCGTTGGCGCGCGAGCCCCGAGCCGGGACGGGGCAGCCGCAGGCGGAGCGAGCGCCAGCAGGCGCCCCTCGCGGGGCCGCACGATCTCCGCACCGAGCCGTGCGCACGGCGCCGTTTAGGGCCGCGAGGCGCAATGCAAGACTGCTCCATCAGCCGGTGAACTGTCAGGGATGCCTCCCCGGGGCCCGGCCTCGTTTGCCGGCACGCAGCGGCTGCGAGGAGCCCCTGCCGAGGCCACGTGGCCGCCCCTCCCCAGCCCAGCCCAGGCGGAGGCGGCTCCCTCGGGGGGCGCGGGGCACCCCCAGGGACAGGCAGGGCTCTGCCCCAGGGAGCTTACACAGCACATCAGCTTCCTCTGCCTTTTCCGACCCTGGACCGCCACGGGTGCCACCGAAGCGTCTGGGCACGAGGGTCACCACCCATCATTTTGCGGTTCTTGCCTAAGAGACATCATTCGGGCAGGCAATTTTCCTGCTAAAATGCATTTTTAACTTCCACCACCGTGTGCATTTTTTCCTCTTCCAACAAATCCCCACCGCTTCGCCTTTTCATCTTCACAACAGCCCTGAAAGGTAGGCCAGGCCGGGCCAGTTCCTGGCCCAGTCACCCAGCGACCCATCTCTCCCAAGCCTCAGTCCAGTGCTCTAACCACTACACCGCACTGCCTCTCCATTTGCATTCCCCCCCATCCTAGCTGGGAGACGACCTTGCATCGAGGCGAGCTAACCAAAAGGGCCCAGAATGCGGCTCACGTAAGCAGGAGGAATTACTCTGCCGGGGGAAAGTTTCCACGGCTACATTTCGGTAAAGCACCACCTCGTGGCACCTCCTTGGCCCAGACAAAAGCTCCTCACCAGCCTCGGCCTCCCCAAGGTGGCGGCCGCGTCCCCACGTGACGTGACGGAGCGAGAAGCAGGAAGCCGCTGCTTCCGATGCTTAGAGGACGCCAACCTGCCCCCCAGCAAGCAGGGAATTATGTTTTAATAGAATCCATTTATTACGCCATAAAAGTTAATGAGTTTATACGGAAAGGCGCCAGGATTCCTTTTAAGGTTTTAATAGGGGATTAGCGCAATGTCCTGGGTTCGGCTCGTTAAACGTGGGTTGAGGTTCCTCCCGCTCGCTCTCGGCGGCTCCCAAAGCTCGTCTCTTCCAGGCGCCGTGTCCCTGTGCCGCATCCCCTGGCCGCCTGCCGGCAGACTGGGCAGAAAGGTTCGGGGGCTGAGAGGCAGGGAGCGCTGGCTGGGACGAGGGTGTGGGGCCAGGGCTGTCCCTGCCCGTCGTCCGGCCCCCGGAGAGGCGTCCTGGCTGCTTGGGACCAGGGACAGGCGCGGCAGCCCGGAGAGACGAGAGGACGGGGGCTGCGCCGGAGGAGGGCCGCCCGGGGACCCCCGGGGGCCGCAGTGGCACGCTGGCCCGACTTTGGGGCGCCCTCCCTCGGGAGCCGGCCTCCCCACCCCGTGGCCCACGGCTGCCAGGCCCGGTGGCAGCGTCCTTGTTCTCCTCCCTGCGACGCGGAGGGGGGGCTCCATCTTGGCCCCTCCACTGCCTGGGCCGGAGTGGGGCGGGCGAGGAGGCAGGGAGTCTGGGGCAGAAGGGGGGCGAGGCCGGGGGCCGTCCTGGGGGCCTGCCGGGAGTAGCCCCTCGGAGGGGCCACGGCCCAAGGTGCCAACTCCGGAAGCCAAGCCAGCTTGCCGCGGCTTCGGCCCCCCCGGCCGTCTCCGGCGCTGCGCTCAGCCGCCCCCCACAGCCGCCCCCCACAGCCGCCCCTCCCCTCCCGCCCGCCCGCCCTCCCCTCCCGCTGCTCTCGCTGTGATGCGTCTCCCCGCTGCTCCCTTGATGGTGCCGATAATGAGATGGAACCGCCAAACGGGCACTTGTGTGCGGCAAAACGGGTAAATAAATTGAAACGCTAATAAAGGCCCCACGGGGGGCTGCGTGACCCAGGTGACGGCAGCGGCTCCGAGCCTGCAGTGGGACCGGCCCCGGGGCTGCCGGGGGGAGCGTGGGGCAGCCTGCCCGGCGTGGCTGCCAAGAGCCGGCCCTCCCCCCACGCCGGGAAGGATCCCCCGCGGAGGGCCGAGGGTGGCCGTCCCGGAGGAGTGCGGCCTCCCGCCCGGGGCGACTTGCCGCACGGCCACAGCCAGCCCACGTGGGCAGGTCCCCCGGGCAGAGCCGCCGGCTCTCCATCCTGCTCTCCATCGCCCGCTCGAGAGGCGGGCAGCTGGGGGCCGGGGCCGGGGCAGCTCCGGTGCGCCACCTGCCGCCCCCCACGTGGCCCAGCTGCCCACCCTCGCTGGCCTGACGATCCCTGGCCACAGATCCGGCTTTTGTGGCCGAGGGTCCCGGGCGTGGGAGAGCCCTTCCCACTTGCCACCTGGTCAGGAGAGGAGAGGAGAGGAGAGGAGAGGAGAGGAGAGGAGAGGAGAGGAGAGGAAGGAGAGCCCAGCCGAGGAGGGAGGGCGGGAGGGAGGGAGGGCAGGAAGCCCCCTGCCCAGGGCCCATCTCCGTGCCAAGGCCCATCCGTCGCGGGCCAGCCAGGGAGCTGGCATCGCAGCCCAGCGCGGCAACGCCAGCCGGGGCCGCAGCGGCCTGATGCATCGCCCTGCCCTGGTGGTGACCCCGGCCATGCGCTCGGGCCCCTGCGGCACGTGGGGAGCAGAGCCGCCCCTTCCCGCTTCCTCCCGCGTTTCCTCCCGCCCCGTCTCCAGCATCTCCGGGCTCTCACGTCGGTTCCCTCCGGAGCGTTGAGGATTCACCAGAACGAACACAGGGGGAAGAGACCGGACGAGCGAGGCAACGTTTTGCGGGGAAATGCACCCGGCTCTGCGCAGACGCCTCCGAAGAGACGCAGTTGGAATGCATGCGCAGAGCTCTGCACCGCTCCGGGACACCTGCATGAAGAGGATTTTCACGAGCGCGGGCATTTCCGCGTGGCCGGCCCTCGCACGGTCGCACCTCTGAGTGCAAATGTCTGTTTGGTGCAAATTTCAAAGCAAACACGAGCTTTGCTTCTCCTCTTGGCCCTGAGGGGCAGGATCGGACCCGTCCACTTTAGGATACGACCCGTCCACATGCCGATTCCACGCGCACAGGAAGCTCTCATCAGAGCGCGCATTTGCCACGAAGAGCCAGCGACCCGGCACCGCTGCTCTCTCGGTTTGGCCGAGGCGGCCCCCCTGCCTGCGAGGGACCCCCAGCACCGCGGCACGGCCTGGGGAGGCACCGGGGAGTTCGCTCAGAACCGGCAGTGCAGACAGGTTAATGGAAACGGACGCCCCCTTTGACAGGGTCATTTGTCATGTGCGCTGGCGCAGCATAGCTGGAACATAACAGGATTAGGTCTCACACGGCAGCCCTGCCCTGCGGCGCCGGCACTCCAGCGGGGCTGGGAAGGGCTGAGTAGGCCCTCCTGCCCCATCCCTGGTGGGGGTTCCCAGTTGCACCAGAGCAGACCACCCCGGAGGTTGCCCGCGATGTCTCTGCATGAGTCTCTGCGGAGGAAAGTCGAGCATCAGGGCTGCTTCTGCGCCGGCTTGTGGGGCTTTTATCCCTCCAGCCAGCGGCTATCTGGGTCTTGCGGAAAGGAGCCGCTTTCCCCGTCCTGTAGCTTTCCATATTTTCCTACAGTTCCAGAAACGGAGCTGGGTTGGCGCGGCGTCCTCTCCTCTCCGCATTCGGCTGCAGCGCACTTCCCACCGCCCTCTGCCACCCTGCTGGCTCCAAGGTATGGCATTATCTTTCCGAAACATGTCAAGGAGCATTAAAATCCACCCCCCTTAATCCCTAATTAAAGTTTATGCAAACGATCGCCCTCCGCCTGCCCGCCTGCGGAGCAGTGGGCTGCAGCCGGATCGAATTGGCAGCTGCGAAGAACCCATTAAGCCCCGGGCCCGGCAGACACGTGTGTGCGTGGGCGGGGGCCGGGGGCGCCTGCACGGGAGAAGCCCCCCTGGGCACAGGCAGCGGGGGCGGCACTGGGTCCCGAAACGGGTCTGCCAAGGCCGGGTGAAAGCGAGGAGGGGAGGTGCTGCTGGCAGCCGCTCCGCTCTCGGTGGGCCCCCAGCCGGCCTTGGGCCTTCCTGGATGGGGCTGATGGGGGCCGTGGGCCCACACGCCTCGCGGCTGCCCCCTCCCATCACGCTGGCCGGGGATGATGGGAGCTGTGGCTCGAGGCTGGCTGCTCCACGGCCGCCGAGAGGAGCCGGGCCCCCAAGGCAGGTGGCGCTGGCGGCCGCGTCCCCGTTCTTTCAATCAGCCGGGCTCCTCCGCCACGAGCTGAAGCGCGCCAGCTGCCTCGCCCCGGCAGAGACGCGCCGCCCCACAGCCCCCTCTGCTGCGGAAGGGAGAGGCCGCTGCAGCCGCGGGCTAGGAATGGAGCCTCCACAGGGAGGCGCAGTCCACCTGCCCCGATAGGACGGTCGGCTCCATCCCGGAGGGGCTGGACGCCCCTGCTTGGGTGCCTCCGAAGGGGGATCGGACGCCCCCGTGGCAGGGGTAGCGGCCCCCCAGGGCTCTGCCGGCAAAACATGACGAAAGCACCCCAAATCCTGCACCCCACCAGCCCCGGCCAAGCGAGCGGAGGCGGCTGGCCGCACCACACGCCTTCTTGCCCTCACACAATCGGCGGCTCAGGCGGGGCCTCGGAAGACGCTGTTTCGGGAGACCCCGTCCCCATCGGGGCAGATGTGGCACACGCCCCCCGCAGCCGGAGAGCCGTCTCCGCGTCTGCTTGATGCACTTCCCCGTTATTGGCACAATTCTCCCCGCAGCTGCTGATTCGCACGGTGGAGCCTGCCGGGAGCCTCGTCCAGCTGCAATTCTGGCTCCCAGGCCGGCCCGCACACACTGAGGGCTAGGAACTTGGCTCTTCCCCGAGCTGGATGTCAGGAGAGCTCAGCTCCGGCCGCAGCAATGCCTCTCCTGGGTTCCTTCCTCTGTGCTCGGAGGGATCCCAGCATCTCCCCCGCCCGACCCCGCAAAGCCCCCAGGCTGCTCGGCCGCTAAGCCCGGCGGCCCACGTCCCCCGGCCTCCCGGCCTCCCCGAAGCCCCCCGGAGCCCGGCCGGATTAATATTCATGCGGCAGCCCAGGGGACGGTCGCGTGTGACCTTGTGCGCTGCACGGCTCTCCTTGGACCGAGCCGTCTGCTCGCTGGCACTTGTCACATGCCCCCGCGCCGGGCTCCCGGGAGGAGAGGCAGAAATGACAAATGACGGGTGACGGATCAAATACAATGTTTTGAAATTACAGTCGTGTTGCGGCGACGGAGCGGCCTGCAGGGGGGCGAGGCGGGGGCTGAGCTGGGGGGCGAGGCGGGTGGTTGGGGTGCACGCCACCCACGGCGCCGCACGGACCGCCGGGGTGCCCCTCCGCTCCCCGGATTCCCAACGCCTGGCGCAAAGGGCGCGTGAGGAACCGGCCCGGCCTGCAGGCGGCGCGCCTTGCGCCACGCACAGGCCGGCAGGGTGTTGTGCTGCCCCGCATCTGGCTTGCCCCCAGAGCCTGGCATTTGCAGATAGACTGCCTTCAAGCGAGGAGGTTCAATTGAGCCGTCAGGGTGACTTCCGTTGGATCCCGCACCCCCTGCAAATCTTTCCAGCCTTTCCCCCTCTTTCCGCCGCCGGCAGCCGTCAGATTTCGAGGTGGCGGATCCCGTGCATTAATGGTGTGTCAAAGGCAGGATGCCCTTTTGTCTGTCCGGAAAGTCCTGCCTGCCAATCAATTTAATTGCCTGGCTTCCCGTTTGGAGCCTCGCGAGGCGGGGGGAAGCCCACGAGCGGCGCACCGACTGCAAGGCGACCGGCAGCCACCCGGGCATTAGCACAGGACGGCCTCTCCCAAAGACCCGCCGTGGAAGACTGCACCTCCCAGCGTACCAGGTGGGGGATGCTAGGCTTCGTAGTGCAGCACAGCGGAGGGGACCGGCTTGGAGAAGGCAGGTGCAGAGCTTCCGGCCTGCTAAAGGCACGTGAGACGGCAGCTTCCTCCGACTGCGGGGTGGGGGTCCAGATGGGCCGGACTGCAGTTCCCATCCTCCTCAGCCAGGGAGGATGGGGGCTGCAGCCAAGCACAGGGGGAGGCGCAGCCAGACGGGGAAGCCCTCCGCCAAGGAGGCAGCCGCTTCCGCCCTCTGCCAGATGTCCGTAATTCCTGCCAGGTGGCACCGGCGTCCCCGTGCCTTCTCATTAATTAGGCGGTGTTGGTTTTAACGACCCACTGAACCGTGTTTACGGCCTGCATGGGACTCCCAACATTAGCGCGGCCTCCGCCGGCACGTGGGCCGAGTCCCGGCCTGACCGGGGCCCGTCGGGCCGGGCTCTCTCCTCCTTGCTCCCAGCAAGCCGAGCCCGGAACCGCCGTGGGGGAGAATCCGCAGCCCCCCGAGCGGCGCCACTGGACGGGGCCTCGGGCCCAAAGCCCAGAACCGCCCCTTCCTATGTCACAATGCCTTTCCCCGATATAGGCGCTTCCTCCCTCCATTTTAGCCACACAACAACCCTGCGAAGCAGGCCGGGCCGAGAGTCCGCGGCAAGCTTCACGGCCAGGCATGTGGACTAGGAGGCCGGTCCCAGCGCGGGCGGCCGTGCCTCGTGGCCTCGCTCCCGCCGCTGCCGGGGCCGGGGCGAGGGGCCAGGGCGAGGCGGCCGCCGGACGTGCTCTCCCCTCGCACTGCCAGGAGCGCACACGGATCTCTGGGGGGGCCGGGCAGGGCAGGGCAGGGCAGGGGCGCTCCCGGGCCGGATGCCTCCGCTCGGCCACGGCCCCCAGCCACGCTCTCCCGCCCCTTGGAATCGCCCAGCCGGGCCGAGGCCGGCGACCGGGGGGAGGAGCAGAGGAGGACAGGAAAGGTGGCCCGTGGCCCAGCGGCTTGGGGTCCCGGCGAGGGAGGGTGCCCGCTTTGGAGCGGCCCCACACGGCAAGGCCGGCGGCGGCGGGAAGTCCGCGGGTGCAGCGGAATGGGAACAAGGCGGCCGGGCCTCCCAAGCCCATGGGGCCCCCGTGGGGCCCCCGCAGCAGCCTCTGTGGCTGACTGATGGGGGCACGGGCCTCCCCCGGACAGTGCTGCACCCTGCCTCCGAGGAGCCGGGCGCCCCACGGCTCTGCGCCTGGGCCACCCCGCCGCCCGCGTAATCCCGATTCAATGCTCTCACGGCGGGGAAAACGCATTGGTGCGGCAATTTCCACGAGCCGTGGGGATGGCGGCTCCGAGCGGCTGCGTCCCCCACCGCCGCGCCCCGCTCCCCCCTCGCTGCAGGCGCACCAGCTGTCCAGGAGGGGCAAGCCGGCTGCGGGCCCGGCGGGCAGGGCGGGCCCAGCCCCTCGTGCCCCCGGCTCCCCCAGGGGGCTTCACCGGGCCGTCATTTCCTCCCGTGGCTCCCGGGCCGCCTGCCTCGCGGCCCTCGCTTGAGGCCCTCGGGGGGCCAGGCCTCCTCGGTCCCAAGAAAGCCGCCATTTGGGGGCGCCAAACGGGGAGCCCCGAGGCTCGCGAGACGCTGCACCGGCTCAAGCACCTTGGACAGCGGGCGGGGAAGCCCCGGTCGGGGTCTGCCTGGGGTGTCTGCGGGGCTGCCCCCACGACTGGGGGGCACGGACCGTGCCCATCCTGCCCCCCTTCCCTGCGGCAAAGGTCGCACCCTGGGAAGCTTACTCCTGAGTAGGCACAGCCGGGCTCCAGCATGAACTTTTCCCAATAAGAGGCCCCAGTACCCTCCAAATCGAAGCACGGAGGTGAAACAGCAGCCAGTGGGACCGCTGCGCGTCTCTCGCCCGGCTGGCTTCTCCTTGGGGGTCGTGCTATCGCTCTGGGGGGGCACTTCCTGCCACTTTGAAACCAACGCCTCTCCTCAGCCCCCCCCCCCCCCCCCCCCCCCCCCCC